AGAGGGGGGGGGGATAAGGTTATTATTAATTTTATTTTAAAAAGAGTGAGCTAACTTATAAAAGAAAGTAATTTTTTGTGAATAGAGACACTCAAAAATATTTTATTTATTCTTTATATTTACATTAATATATTATTATTGTATTATTTATATTATATTTATTAACTATTACGTCATCCGGTTCAACTCCCGATTCAACCCCTGTCAAAACAATGAACCATGAACCTTTCATTCTTCTAGTTTGATGCCCGGTCCGGTTTCCAAAATTTGACATGCCCGCATAGCACACAAATTGAAGTCTTCATAACAAGCAATAGTTCACATAGCTACTCACTCAACAAAATGTGATTGCATAAGGAAGAATAGGAGCCTTCTAAAAGTTATTAGATCCATAGCAAGCACTAGTGATAATGTTTCAAAATATTTTAGATAGGCATTGTCCTATATGTAGCCTCATTAACACATGAGGTCAAGAATAACAAAAATTCAAAAACCTTAGTTAAACCTCATCAAAGCCAACACAAAATCTAAACATATCTCCATTATTCCCTTCAATTCATTGTGGGTTCCACCTTGTTCACATTCCATTAAAACAAAAGAGCAAATTTTACCCAAAAGCCATATAATGCACCTTCCATTGCTACTAGCTTAACCAACAATTGTACAAATGATACTATCCAAAGGGGGGGGGGAGGAAAACTTCAATACAATGGACAATTTTTTATGAACGCTTTTTCCACAAAACTCACCTTCAAGGGGAGAATTCCAACTCTCTCAATGTCAGTTTTATGAGAATATCTAAGCCTATTTTGTGAGCCTACATCTCTTACTAAGTTACCCAAATCTCATTCCCCTTGCCACACCAAAAGATCGTAAGAACACATACAAAAAGCCTATTTTGAGAGCCTACATCTCTTATTGAATTACCCAAATCTCATTCCTCTGGCCACACCAAAAGATCGTAAGAACACATACAACAAGCTTAAATATAAAAGGATTGCCTATTCTAAAAATATGAAAAACTTAACGAATAACAATGAATAAAGCAATCTTGCTTGAGAAAAACCATGTGTTGGCCCAATCTTTGAAAATCTTTCACAAGGTAATACTAATCATGATACTTAACATCCCCATTACCCACAAAAAAATATTATAAGAACTTGTACAAGACTTTCATAAAAGACATTCTCAATTTTACACATTTATGGCTAGTCTTTATAGTATGAACATCTGGAGAGAAAATTTATGATGAATATTAAAAAAACCAAATGGAGAAATAACGGACATGAAGAAATGCGATCATGGAAAAATAATGGATGTCATCATGGAAAAATAATGGGCACAAGCAAGCCCTCAACCCTTCCGATAGAGAAAAAAAAAAAAAAAACAAGTTGGAAATACTAAGGTTTTTTAATTTGAAGGACTGTAGCCTCTGAGTAGTGTATATTACATGTAGTTGTTTTAAGTTTTTGAGGGTTTGGTTGGAAACAAAAATATCAAAAGTAAATTTTGAGGATTAGGAAACTCATACTAAGTTCTTTTCGAAGCAATTCAAATTCTCCATATGATTAAATTTGAAATATATCGAGTAAAGAACACTCTCCATCATCACTACCACTCCCTACAACTTCTCCCCTCAAAACAAACTATCCCCTCCTCATCCTTCTCGCACAAATCCAACTATAACTGTGAAGCAACAAATCCCTGTTCCTATCTAATCTCATGTGAAGCTAACTTTACATTGAATTTAAAATACACATGAATTCTAAACAACCAAATAGTCCCTAAATACAATGAAAGCATTAGAAGGCATAAGGCCAACATGGTGGCAAAAGGTTTTCTCAAACTTATAATATTGATTTCGAAGAAACCTCTGCAGTAGTTACTAAGATTAATTCAGTATGGGTTGTTCTCTCTTATTACTAATATGAACTAGCCTCTTTCATAAAGTAGATATCAAAAATAACTTTGTCAAATGACGACATTAAAGAAGCCTATAGACAATAACACCTAATTTTGTGATCAACAGAAATCAAAATAAAGTTTGCAACAAGAAATTTTTAAATGGTATTTAAAAAAAACACCAAGAACTCAGTTCATTAGACTCAAAGCTGCAATGAAAAGGCGTGGGAACTCTCTTGAGAACAATTTGATTACATTTTTGTTTTTCAAATAATCATCAAGAGATAAAATCACAATCCACATTGTCAACGCTAGTGAAATTATCTTAAATAAAAAAATGACAAAGAGATTAATAGGCTAAAAATAAATAAAAAAAATAAAATAAAAGATAATGGAGAATTAAAACATTTCCTTGGCAGTCAATTTGCAAGATTAAAAAAATTATACTCCAAGTAATTGTAGAATATAAGCATGGCATCATGCAAGCCAGTGAATATCTCAGCATGCCATATCAATAAAATCACATGCAAAACTAAGTATTGAAAAGTGGACAGCATACCAATTTTTGATAGAAAAATTCATCTATTTTTCCCACACTAGAGTCAGTGTGTTTGAAAGATATATGAATACCTCTACTAACGTATCCCAAGATATTTTAAAGGTTGCCAGAAAAAAGGTCATTCTTCAAGAAGGAACTAATGAAAGATTGAAAATTTAATGATGCCGGCTTGGCAAAATCAATAAATGATTGTAAATCCATATCTAATTACTGCTCATTTGTATAGGAAAATAAACTCAAATGGAGAAATAAAAGCAGATGATAGTAGTGTGAAGCATTGTTGAAGTCAAACATGAGGCCTTGATCAAGATGATGTGTGAAAACTAACCTACAATCAAAATTGTTAAAGAAAATGCCCAACCTAAGAAAGACTAAACATATCAAGACTAAGACTAAGGGTATGTTTGGGGCAACTGTTGATTATTTATAAGCAGATTATTCTGACAATCTGATAATCTGCAGATTATCAGAATAAGTTGGTTTGATGTTTGAGGCAGCTTATCTAGAACAACTTACTGGGAGTTACTGTTGGATAAATAATCATTCTGCCCCTGTTTGGTTAAGCTGTTTGCAATAGAACTGTATATGGAATATAATAGATAAAATAGATATCTCAAACTATTACAGTTCAGATGTCTCAAACTAAAACAGTTGTTGATCATAGGGATTTGTAATATGTACAAGTGCAATATTTACGCAAGTTTATAATCTTGCTCATAAATTTCTGCAAGAAAACTCATAAATTTCTGCAAATTTACAATAAATTTCTGCAAAAAAAAACTCATAAAAAAGCTTAAGAAAATAGCCTAGACAAAGAAATGATTTTTGTAAGTTTAGAAAAAATAGTCTAGAAAAAAAAAAAGCTTAAAAAATAATCCAAGAAAACTCATAAATTTTTGCAAGTTTATAATCTTGATAATACAACATTCTATAGCAAATATGTATATATTAACTTCACATATGAACAAGAAATGAAACATCTAGACAAAGAAAGAATTTTTCACTCCACCAAAAATGGTTACTGTGGACGGGAAGAGTGTTGAGAAAAGAAGGGCACGGTATCGGAGAGGAGAAGTGACTGGGACGACTTCGGAGAGATCGGAGAAGGCTTCGATCTCCGCCTTGGACCGCGACCGGAGAGGAGAAGGGCACGGTATCCTCACCTGGAGCCGGCTTCGATCTCCGCCTTGGACCGCGACCAGGACGGCTTGGGAGAAAATCGTGAGGGAAGGAGAGAGAGATCGGAGAGGAGAAGCGGAGGGCACGATATCGGAGAGGAGGTTGATCGAGGGGCTGGAGGGTAATACGCTCGAATGTAACGCGGAAAGCAGGGTTCGAAGGCCGTTCGCGAATAATAAAGGAATGGCGTTCAGCGATTTCTTATCACTGAGAGATACATGTGAAACAAAAGCGAAGGAGGCATTTTCAAAACTCCCACCGCCCGAATAAGCATCTATTACCGCCCAAACGGGGCCTAATAGACACTTCATGAAAGCAAAAATCATTTAGGAGATTATCAAAGTGATCAACATTTCAAAAAAAAATCAAAATCTTAGAAATTTTCACTACGGTTCCTAGTCAAATACATTTGGCAATCTCAAATACAAGCTAAGAGTAACTAGCATATATTGTCTGTTTAAGTTGAAATTATGGGCTGTAGACAACTGCCTCGTACAAATTTAAAAGGAATCATGTTTACCCAAAATGTATAAAAAAAGTTAAAAGAAGAACCCCCAAAAAGAGTGTATTAAATGCTAGTGCTGATTCTCAGCATCCTACTCTAGAAACCATTTGCATGTTGGCCGCAATTCCACTTGCTGACTCCATTTTCTTATCAAGCTGGAACTATGGCTTTTCTCCCATGCTCTCCGGACGAAGAAGCTCCTACCCCATTGCTTCTTTAGACTAAAGTTTCCGCATTTTTCTAGTCATTTGAACCACTAGAATAAGAACATGAAAACTCTCTTATATTTTCCAACAATAACTAAAAGGACCAGGGCACCCTACTTTGTTTAAGTTCAGTAATTAATTTGCTAATTAATTCAGTACAAATATTGAACATGGCATAAGTTTTTAATCCATATTTAAATATTAAATGAGCCTAACTAATAATGCTAGTATATTGAATTAATCAGACAAACCAATTACAAATTAGATAAAATTCAATCGTTTGGGATCATTATGGCCATCCAATTGGAGAAATTCAATGGGCCGACTAGAAATGTAGTGCTTCAACGAAGATGATAGAATTGTGCAAGTTGACATTTTATTTAGGTCAAGCATAGCCATGGCCTGACGATTGCACAAGGCTACCGGAAACGGTATGTAAGAAATCATGAAATCAATAGATTGCATGTTCAGCAGAATCCTTAATCACAAACATTATTCTCTCTGAACCCAAAAGAGTGTTAGAAGGGATGAAGTAGAGGGTAACTCAAAAGTTTGCTATTAGGGTACAACCTACTATTGCTTTCCTAGACTAGTTTTTGGATGGCATGGATGATAAGCTAAGGGGACGCTCCATCCTTTCTGTAGGCCACTTAAGACAAACAAATGGAAAATTTTGATCAAACTGAACTCAAAATCAAATCAAATGCCTTAAAAGAAGTTTCAACCTGCAATACTAATCCTTATCTACAAATTCTTCCTACCATAGCTTCCTAACTTTTGCAATCAACAACTCAGCACATGATAGGACTCAAAGAGGAATTTGGTATTAATATTTCCCTTCTTAAGCTAAAGACAGATGTTATAAAAACTAGTTTTTAGTTTACATTGACAAAAACTTCCACCTTCAATGCAAATGCTTGATAAGCTACACTAATTATTTGGTGTCAATGATCAAGACCATAAAAATGTGGATGTCAATTAGTTCGGTTGATAAGGAGCTTAAAATTTTTTGCAGTAATCTTGAATTCCAATCTCACATTCATCATAATAAAGACCATCCTAAAAGCTTCAGGCTGGGCAAATGAAAGACGCATACTTGCCAACTCTTTAAATGACCAAAAATCAGTACACAAGTATGTGAATCAAATATATTCAAAATTACAAGCTAGCATTAAAAGGTATTGCAAAAGCTAGCATGACATTCTCAAAATTACAAAATTACCAAAAGCTAGCATGACATTCTCGGCACATAATTGGCAGCTGTTTAGAGGTTTCATACATTTTATAATGATGTTTTCATTTCAATCAGTATAGTACATCCATATGATCGCAATTCTAGTTAACATTCCCTGCAATGAAAACTATGAATAACTAAAGCAACAACATATGTGTTAGTTTCCACATGCTCATCAATATTGATTACTGCTACATTACTTATTTGCCTAAAATTTAATCAATTAATTCAATTTTAGAAGCTTATTTGCCTAAAATTTAATCAATTAATTCAATTTTAGAAGGAACATAAGTTTTAAACTAGGATGGGCAGGAAAAAAAAAAACTTATAAGCTTACCCATTCATCAAGATGCAAATATGATTGTCGATTAATAAACACCAGGTTGCAACTTGCACTGCAAAAAAATAAAGATTGAACATACAGCTCAAACAGAAACAAAATGCCAATATCCATTATTATATATGAACTATCAACTACATAAAATATCATGGGCCAAGCTTCTGAGTTCGAAATTGGAATCTGAACATGTTTCTGAAAAGAACTGGTACAAATGTTTCTGAAATTTGAACATCTAACATATAGACTTTCTCCATAAACGTTCCTTAAACACTACTAAGCATTTCCATCAGTATAGTCAGCAGAAGACTATGTAATTATGTATTGAACTTCCTTTGAAACTTTCATGTAGAGATACACAACATGAGCAACAAACTAACAAAATGAAGGCAGTAATGATTCATAGAGCCATGAAAAGAATTTTTTTAAAAAAAATTTATACACTATGTTGACTAAGGTCTGGCGTGGCTTCTAAGATGAACGTACCCTGATACAGGAACACAATATGACTGAACATACCACACTAAAACTCTTTAAAACTAAATAGAGTCAATGACAAGAGTTAGACAAGACATTAATAATTGAAGAATACCCAATTACATTAATTTTTTGTCAGAATACGGCTTTATTCATAGGGTTTCAAATAAATCATATTTTTGCTAGAAAGAAAAATAAATATTATAGCAGCATACCACACATAAAAACTCACAAATGACTCTATTATAGCAGCATACCACACATAAAAACTCACAAACGACTCCTTCTAAATGATCCCAAACCCACCAGCCATAAGGAGCCAATCAAAAGGCGGTAAAGCTGCAAGGTTGGCAATCAATATGAGAAAACCAGCAGCACAAAAAGGCTCGTTGCTGCTACAATATGCTGGACAACCTCGCCATCACAAGTTCAGAAAATGCCCAACCCATAAATTTTCAAAACCACCTAACCACGTAGAGACTAACAAAATGTACAACAATATTTCCCACTCTTTAATTGTTGCAACTCATAGGGCTGAAAAAAAAAACCAAAAAACTTTCGGATAGATCTTCATTTTCAATTTTCTCTTTAAAAAAAATATTAATACATCTCCACAAATATAGTCTGATCAATCCATCTCCACAAGCTTAGTCTAGTCATGCTGTACAAAATTATATATTACATAAACAGCAGTTTATTATCATAATAGAGTATGATAGGATTCTTAATGCTTCCTAAAATTCCTCTAATAGTAGTTTGATTCGGATTAATTCACTGAAGTGAATCTTCCATCGAAAATTATATCTGTCCAATCAACATAAGTATGGACATCCAAGATTCTTAATTCTCTTTTCTTAAATAAAAATCGCATTAATAGGGCTTAATTTTATGTGATTGAGAAATGTCCTTCATAAGAGGCACACATGAACAAAACTTACATGACTAACAACAAAGGCTTTTGAAAACTAGCCTGAGCAAATAGAGGAGCTTCCCCACCGTACTTTGATGTCTTCAATTACAGTGGAAAATTAGTTCTAACATTACTCAGATTTGTAAGAGTGTCGACAGGTTTGCTTCAAGATAAAATCAATTTCCTTTAAAAGATCTAGTACATGCTTTCCATGAGAGATGGATAGATCAAATTTGTTCAAAGAGAATTTGATCTTCAGGAATTATCTAAGATGACAAAGATTGTTAATTTTGAATTCTACAGCTAGTTTTTTTTTTTTTTTCTAGGGCCTTATCTTTAGAACATGATCTCCTGTACTTATGATAATGGTATCTATATAAACAATTAAACGGTATAATGAACAACCATGTTTTGTAAAAAATGTGATCAAATTGAGCCAGATTGAACACTTGTTGATTCACAGCTTCTAAAAATCTTCCAAATCAGGCTTCAGGAAAATATTTCAGTCAATAAATAGGATTTTTATAATTGCAAATAACACCTAGCTTTCAAGAGTCATTGATCCCAGAAGAACAATCTATGTAGACTTCTTCTAATTTATCCATCAAAAAAGTATTCTGAAATTCTAGTTTTTGAAGTTGCCAATCTCGGTTAATTGCCATTGATAGGATTCAAATAGTGTTATGGTTAGCCACAAGCACAATGATTTAAAAAAAGTCGATCCCAATGGTGTGGGTAAATCCATGGCAACCAGTCGTAATTTATACATATTGATAGCACCAGCAAATCGATATTTCAAAGCCAATACAGATTTACATCTCAAAAGAAGGACAACTTGTGGTTTTCAAATAAATTAGTTTTTTTTTTTTTATATATCTCTTTTTCGACTACCTCTCTCCATTTGGATTACTATGCAAAAGTTCAACCACAGCAAAGGTATCTTCTAAAGTTCAACCACAGCAAAGTTCGTAACAAAGATATTTTATTGAGATAGATTGTCACAGCTATAGTATTTGCAAGCAAAAAATTCGCGGGAAAATGAACCTCTATTCTCAAAAGAACAGAGATATTTTTAATATTATAGGTGTGAAAATGTACCAATATTCTCAAAATAACAAACAAATATTCAATATTATTGCAAGCTAGATAAGTTTATGAGTATCCTAATTCCATTTGGGATTCGTGACAAGCTTCATGAGCTAAAGAGAGTCCGCTTCTTTATATATTCTTCTTTAAAGAGTAGACACAAACTTAGAAATTTGTCGAGGGATCAAGTGAATAGAACTCTCAAAAACTTCAATATGATTAGTTCTAAGAAGATTGGTTATATCATTGAAGAAGAAAAAATCAAAGGAAAGAAATATCAAACTTTTCTTCCATTTCACCCACTCCCATGAGTAAATTCCTCTAAAAGAAAAAATTATTCTTAAAAAATGAGACATTTATGTATACGAATGTTTCTTCTCATGAAAACAACATTTAAGATAGAGCTTATTCTTATTTGGTTCGTGATTGTGTATAACAACAATACACCAGAAATCATAGTTGGAATACTTCAAATAGTAAGTGCTTGAAAAGCAATTGAAAAAGAACATCAATTGGAATTTTTAACTAAAGCACATAAATAGGTAAAATCATTTATGATATGAAAGACAATAAGAATAGCACCACTCTTGTAATATTTTGAAGTACTAGTGGTGAAAATATTGCATCCAGCTACCTCCAACATGTCTTTATTGTTTCATTATAGCATTTTTGTTCAAGTGCGTCAGGACAAGATCGTTGATGAATAACAAAATGCTGTTTAAGGTAGCTTCCATGAATATGATTAAAATATTCCATATCTCTAACAAAGTAAAGAATTTAAATTTCCATGCAATTTTGGTTTTAGCCATATTTAGATTTTCATAAAATAATGGGTTTTAGCTAGAACACATGGATGTAATCCTCAATAAAGGTGAAAAAACATTGCTTGAAGTTAGGATTTGGAGATCTGGAAGTGTCCAAGATATTACTATGCAAAAGATAAAAGTTTTGTTATAATTACAAGACTAACTCGAAAAATACTGCTTAGATGTCTGGCTACTTGATAGATTCACATTGAAAAATAACTTGAGTAATATCATGAACAAAAAATATTTTTAAGAAATAGAAAACTCAAATGACCCAATTTATAATGCAAGTAACATGATTTAATCCTTATACTTCTAAGAGAAGAGAAAAATTTATTTATAAGGATGGCATGATTACTCTATTTAAAATAATTTAATCCCTAGACTTCCAACCTCTCTAACATTCATACAATTTGAATGAGAATATAATTTTACAAATGCAATCTCTTGCTAATTTGCTTGTAGATATGAGACTACAAGAGAGAACTTTAATATGTAAAACAAAATTTAGACAAAATTCAAATTTAATTCTAGCGTTCATATCCTAGCAATAAGGGATTGAGACAATCGCCAATTTTGAGCTATGATAAAGACATTGCAATGACTATATGTGAGTGCAACTTGTCATCTGATATGAAGCTTCCAATGCAATAATCCAGGATTATACGTCATTCTTAGTAAAATTAAAAGCAACAGAAAAAAAACTTTTCTAGTCTAAAAAGGAGGAGCTAGATGTTGAGTATCAAGAGTAAACAAAAAATATATATAGGAGATACAATTGCTCCTATTCAACAACAAACTGCCCCAAGTTTCTTCGATCCTCACCAAAACTTCATTGCTTTAAATTGATAAGCATGAAGGTTTTTGAGTGGATTCCCATAATTGATCCAATTTGTTCCTTTGCATGAAGTCCCTCCCAATTTTCACTTGAATGGTTTATCTATTTACAAAGATCACACAATTTTTTCGACGCCTCTAAGTCACGTCTTTGATTTAGTTCCATACTTCAAAATGTAAGAGTAGATTCTACAATTATGAGATTAATGCTAGTACCACAAAAAATAATTCTCAATATGCTTTCACAACTTTGAACCTCAAAAAATGCTTCCTCAATCTTAGGATGTAGATGAGCCTCAACGATTCTACAACAAACTTTATTAAGTTCCTCAATTTTAATGTAGATGAGTCCCGACGATTCTAAAACAATAGATTAATATGTTCTGGTTTTCCCCACATGTGAGATGTCTTCACATGCACGCTTCTCTCCAATCATTCGGTCTGAAGATATCACCAAATATTTGTGCATTGTGAAATATTTAATAAACGCATGACCCCTAATTTGAGGTCACAGGTATGGTCTTGCAATTCAAACAATCAGGCAGAATTTCATAGGTCATAATATGGATGTTAACTTTCACACAAATTGCTTACACGGTGTTCTAGACCAAATATAATGATTCAATATGTTCCATAAATTTGATTAGCAAAAATATTATGAGGGCATTACTGGCATCCCACAATGGACCGAGTACGCATTTCGGGTTGAATATGATATCATTTAGGTATCCTATGTTACCAATTCCTCATATCATCAATTATACCAAGTGAAACCATTGCAAAAAGTTCTTCCCATTTTATTTGTAGGAATTACAAAGGTGAGCAAACCATGGAAACTCTTGGAATGAGATGACTCAGTGGGCTGGCTTAGATCTTATTTTTACCTCTTCTCTATTTTGGTGGCCTAGGGCATCTTACAACTGTCGATCATAGCTTATACAT